GGCAATTCTAGAACTCGTAGAGCAAAACGAAGACCACCATTAGACTCCTCGTGACGAGCTGCATCGAATCGATACCCATTTCATGCAAAAATATCAACTTTGAAATTTGACCTAATTTGACCTGACCTTGACCTGACCTTCACCAAAACGTGACCTAGGCTGGCCCCAAAGGCTGCCTAACCCACATAATCGCATTTGTCATGTAAAATGGACCATAAAACATGTATCACACGACACATTCATATTGTGACCCCCGGTGACCTGACCTCGCTGTGACCTGACCTGGTATCAGTGACCTCAGGTAGCAAAGTATGTGTTTGACGAACAATGTACCATCGATGGTTTTCAATAAATTACCAATTTACTCGCTTTCACAGCACATTTCTTGAATTGCCTGTGAACGGTGAAAATCTGACCTTTGACCTGACCTGTGACGTCATTGGTTTGACCTAGGTCAATGAAATTTGGTCACAAGGTAGTTCCCGGGTGGGGCTATCGAACGCCGTTTGAATTTTGAAAATCGGCCGGTAACTTTCCGAGATCTTAGGGGGGGCCGAAACGGCCCCCCCCCCCCCTACGGGTGGTAGGGTTCGCCGGTAGCCCTACGGGGCGCGGGTTAATATGGATATGAGCCCTTACTGGTTTTGTGGCTAGTTGGCGTGGTGACTGAGCCGCTCATCTAAATGTCATCCTTCTTGCGGTCCATTCCCGCACACAATTCATTTGAGAACCCTATGAGTTCTGTCGTTATTGCCTTCAAACAAAACTAATGATGGACCGATGGAAACCAATGTTTGTGTATGAAGCTTATGAAATAAATACAAAATACTATAAATCTATTTTTACATAGATGAATACATTTGAATATGATATTTAAAATAATTAAGAATAAACCTCAACATAGAAAGATATAAGATTCCTCATGGCTCACTCGTGGAAGATCGGATATCTTTTACTCGCGTGTGACAGAAAAAAACCTCGTTCCTTCGTCGCTCGGTTTTTCAGTAACCCGCTTGGAAAAGATATCCTTTTCCTTCATGCCGGGGTATGTCTTAAGCACAGCAGGAGCCGGGCAGTAAAACTATGACCAAGAAACTGTCGGTGTCAAAATGCCATGTTATTTGATAGGCCGGGCAGGAAACAAAAGTTTACTGCCCGAGTTTACTGCCCAGGGCAATGACCTCTAAACTACAGTTTATCGCATTAGCCCAGAGGTATAATTGACAGGGAATGTATAATTGACATCATTATTGCATGATATTTGCCGCGTAAAATTAGAAACTAACATTTTTTGGTAATAAATATCTGCTCATCACGGGTTTTGAAATATTTTGTATTGGTTACAAAGCCGAAATTATGGTCAGATATGCGCCTATTAATCGAAATCCGTTATCGCTTGTTGTCTTATCTTCGTTTGATATGTCTACTGATAACTTAGGCCTAAGTTATTGCGTTACATATTATTTGACAGTTGTAGTCCTTTCCTCGAAACAAACATGTAAAATATGGAAAATATAATGTATTTCACGAAACTTTAGCCATAGGGCATCAACAAAGTAGGTACGATTGCATAAATAAAGAAAAGATTCTTGCAAGAGCACTGGAAAATTCACGTTTAATCACTAGGAATATTATACATACTTCTTGTTCTTATGTCGTGGCAAATTATTCATATATTATGTTCCTTGGATATCCAGTTGTTGTGCCATTCTGAGTTGATATTTTCAGACGCGATTCTTTTTGAAATTTGAAGTAAGGTATTTTGATGCATTTTCTTCTATAAATTTCCTTTAAAGCTTTATCCACAGCAGTAGCGCAATCACTGTTAAGAAACCAGTATAACGCCTTTTGGGGCGACTAACGGAGCGAGCGAGAGGGTGACCCTTGCACGTGCGAAATTTCGAGGGGGTACCTCCAGCTGACTTGTGCACGGCACCCTACTAACCGGTCTCTAGCGATGTGCCAAATTTGAGCATGCACAATCGGCCCAGTCGTTCTCGAGATCTGGAAGCGGCACCCTGCACGTGCGCACGTGCAAAATGGGTCCCAACTGACTTTTGCATGGCACCCTACTAACACGGTCCCTAACCATGTCCAAATTTGAGCGCCATCGGTCCAGCCGTTCTCGAGATCTGGAATCGACCCCTGCACGTGCGCACGTGCGATGCAAAGAATTTGTTATATCTGCATCCCTCTGAGATGCAAAGATAAGGTCTCGAGGGTTCATAGCGAAAAATCAAGAGTTCATGTGATGATGGGTCAATAACCGAACGACATTTTTAATGGTTGTTTATGGATGAAACTTATGAAATAAGAATAAACTACTCTGAATCTATTTTTACATAGATGAATGCATTTAAATGTAATATTTTATTAATTAAGAGTAAACCTCAACATAGAAAGATATAGGATTCCTCATGGCTCACTCGTGGAAGATCGGATATCTTTTCCTCGCGTGTTACAGAAAAACCTCGCTCCTTCGTCGCTCGGTTTTTCAGTAACCCGCTTGGAAAAGATATCCTTATCTTCCACTCGGAGCCTTCTTCCGATCAAGAGAAGTTTCGTACCGAGAGAAGTTTCGCAGCCACGTCCGATATAACTTACGATAGCACGGATCCCCCCAGCTCTATATCTTCCATTCGGAGCCATGAAGAATCCTCTATATCCGTGCGTTTCCAGACTTTTTTGTGATTAGAAACGTCGCAGTGTGTGAAATGCCTGAAATTGTCTGAAACTGAAAGAAATGTTTGTGTGAAACGATTGAGAACCGAAAAACTTCTACCTATTTTTCTTCATTGCTCTTTATCTAGCTAACTCTTGTCCATTTTTAAGTCCTAGTGAAAACATTCGACAACTTAGAGACTTCCGGAACACATCTAAATCCCCGATTCTCTTATACCGTCGCAGCTGGCTGAGAAGCTTATACAATATGCAATATGCAATATGCATGCATTGCACGTTATTTCAGCATCGAAAACAGCACAGTGTTTGGGAAAAACAGGAACCACGATGTTGGAAACCGCAGCTGCTGATTGATGCAATTGTGCACCCGCGGCTGTCGCAGTGTCACCCGGGCTGGGTCATATGACGCCGGATGTGGTCATGGGTTCTTCCTGTGTTGTGATTTTCTGGGCCTGTCCAGTTGGGACCCCCCCCCCCTCCCCTCGGGCGGGGGGGGGCGCCTGCGGGCTCGCTCTCAGCGCGCGGCGGCGCAGTACCGGCGGCGGTGCTGACGTCATAAGTCGCCCCCCCTCCCCCCGTGGGAGGTCCAACCGCTGCCACCCCACACTGGGTCATTCCGGCAATTTTGCGGGTACTCCCGGTGCGGCGTAGCGGCCTGGGCCTTTCCGGGTGGCGGCTGCAGAGGGTAGTGGAGTGCGAAATGGCTGATAATAGTCCGACGAGCGAGTGATGGCAGTGGATGACGGCTTCGGCTCAGCTGGGAATGAACGTTGTATATGCTTATAGTAAGGGCCTGGAATGAACGTTGTATATGCTTGTAGCGAGGGATAACTTTCCCCAATGCGTTTAGAATGTTGAAATACACAATGGTCGTTCAACTCACCGCAAAAATCATGAGAATTAGGTATGAATTGCCGTAGCATGCAGAAGCTCATGGGTTATGGAGCTCTTGCGACCCGGGGCCAGAAACCATTTGGGCTGCATACTGACAGGGTTAAATAATCGTAAAATGGACACGCACACAAAGATCGATACAAAAGTAAAGCATATGAACGAAAAATACATGCTTTGAAGTCTTTAGTCGCCATCATTAGTCCTTTGACGTTCACGCCATTGTGAATCCAGTTACGCTCCAAAGCAAAAGTCATTGTTTATAAACATCCAGACAATAAAAACACCACTTGATGAGATATGTCATCATATCCTTATCACAAGCCGTGGCTCTACATATACGAGATAATTTGAGCCGTGGATATAGCTATTCCATCACTGTATGCCTGGCCTATTCAAATACCTACCTTAGTCAGAGAGGTATGGTGTAAACTGATGTAATCAAATTAACCACGGTCAAAAATGCTACACCAGTTTGCACCAGCACACCACGAGTGTAGCGGCAGCACCACCCGTGGTACCGTCAAACATTCCTTCAGCAGCACCCTCCCCCCCCCCCCCCGGCTGCAGGAACGCTGACGTCACTGGACGGCAATGACGTCACAGTGGGCATGCCGGCTGCGCAGTATGCGTTGATGGCTAGAGTCGTTTGAGAACTGCAACGGCTGGTCAGGTAGGCTTTCCCGACAATTTGACACCCGGTGACTCACGGTCAAGCACGTTGTCCAGTGAGGGGAAGAATACAGGTGTTCTCTTTTCAGACTACGTAAGGTTTTAAGTCATTAAGTTCGGAGATCTGGCCGCGCACTCCTGGAACGTTCAGCGCCCCTGATTCAGATATCTTAGTGGCACCCTCGCTAGTTTAGAAGTCGGCACATTTGTGACTTCGCTAACATAGTTCAGAGTTGAAGAGCCGTTAACAGCTGCAACGCCGTTTAGTGACCGTAAACCTATGTTTGCTAGTGTTCAAAGGCTTTGCAATCTTTCTATTTAATAGTTATTTTTATCGATAGGGATTTCTCGTTTGAGCTTCACGTTAATGTCTGTACGAGGCCACTATTGTCACGTCATGTCAAAAAGCTTTCTCTAAAATTATAGTGGCGTAACGTAGCGCGTGTTCTATGGCTAGTTTTATGTTTGTAATTCGTTGGTTACGAGTATTTTGACCATAAGGCAGTCAACTCAAAGCCTCTTTCCCGTTCAAGTACAACCCAAACGTGAGGTTGAATTAACCTGTTCTTTTAGAATAAGAAGGATTTCCACCAAATTCAACTCAGTAGGTACTTATAACAAAGAACCCGCAAGGGTGGTCTAGATTTCACATTATGCGATTCAATTGAGACTTCGAAAGAACCAGCGCTGGCGAACAAAGCAGAACAGCAACTCAGTACGTAATGCGATATCTAGACATAATCATTAATCACTGCTGCAGCAAATACGTGTATTTTCTGTGCATTTCAACAAACAACCGACGAATGAACCAGCTGTAACAATGAGTTTAGGTGCGATAAGGCATTCTTGATTGTAGGTCTTCACAAACAATAACAATAAAATATTTTTAGGCTAACGATAGCATAGCATTACTGAGTAACGTATAACCACTAACCAGGCCTTATCAATTAGAACATAACACAACGACAGGCGATAGCTGCACAATATTAAATATTTATGTTAAGGACGGACACAGAAACTAGATAAATCACTTCTCATCTTCACATACTAAAGCATACTCTTTACTTTTTTCTTAGTACGTCATCGTCATCGTCACCGTCGCCGTCATCAGCATCGTCATCGCCGTCATCGTCACTGCGCCTTTCCATCATCATCACCAATCGCCATCACTGCCTGTCGACGCCTTGGAGGCTTTCTCTGACGCCTGACAACCATTTCCTCCAGAGCTTCACTGACGCTCCAGCCGAAAAACGACAGCACGCGCTGATTGTGCCGACCATCCTCGTCTTCATCATCGTGCAGATCGTGAATGAGCTTGCACTTGTCGCCGTACCTGCAGTTACCTCGAGTGAATTGCTCGCAGCAGTGAAGTCTCATGCAGTGACCCTCGCAGCCCGACGGCCGGCTGAACATCATTTTGCAGACCTCGGGCTTCGGAGGAGAGCAGCTTTCTCGAAGTTTCAGCAGAAGTGTCGTATCGGGCTCGGTGGACCAATCTGCGGCCCTCAGGAGCTTGGCGTTATGTGGGACGCTCTTCAGCTTGTGGCTGAGGTTACAGACCTCCAGCGGGCAGTCGTCGAGGACGTAGCGGTAGCAGATGTGCAAGCGGGTGCATCTGGTGGTAGCACAGCGGCCGAGATTGTACCTCATGCACACGCCGAAAGCATTGCGGTACTCCTGCTTCCGGAGTTCTTCCATCGCCAGGTTCAGGTCGTGATGAACATCCCACCCAGCCTGCTCCAGAAGTGAGATGTTTCTAGAACTTCCCAGCGTATGCTCTTTATCACATCCGGCTTTGCATTTGTTATGCAAAACGAAGGACAGGCACAGGTGAAGGGCTGGACAGTTGGGGTGCATGCAGCCACCTTTCTCGGCGCTGTAGGCGCGACAGATGGCCGGAAGGCCGCTCCGTGCGGCCGATTCCTCGTCGACGTCCTCTTTATCCATCGCCGGACCTGAAACAGACGCATGACGGAGGTGAGTGGCGTGGGAGGAATAGATTGGGTGCATGCACATTGCGCATGCACTTCGCAAGTTATTCTAGTCATTTATTATTTTTTGTCCAATTATGTGTTTATTCGTTTATTTATTTATCTATATGTTACCTCTTAATCAACTCAATATAAATTCCTTATTATCTTTTATTTTTATGTTTCAATTTGTACAGGCTGTAAGGGCACGAAGCCTAGGCCATAGGGTTTGAAAATATCTATTGTTATGGACAAGTTTTGAGGTAGTTTGTCGACTTTTCACACCCGAATGACTTGGACACTCAAAAATAACATGCAAAAATGTGATCTTTTGAAACTTCAACACTACATACGGAAAGGAATATAAGGCATATTCAACTTGAGTAAACAAGAGGCGCTGACTCAAGTTAACACCGATATCAAATAAATTCAGAAATAAAACACTTGGTCTGATCGGCAACATTATAAGAAAAACTCTGACATGCAAATTTGACTCATTTTGACTGAATTTGACTCTTGTAGGTACCTGATTGTGATCCGAGCTGATGAGAGAGGGATGGATCCGATTACAATTACTTCTGGTTGGGGCGCCCCTGTTTTGGTCAAAAAGACAGCAAGTGATAGTGTGAATGTAGTTAAAAGTTGTCTTAACAGCTCCTTTGTAAAAACTGCCATGTTTAAGACGCCGAAACTTACCTGTTGCGGATACTTTTGTCTCGCCCTGACGAGACGCGACACACTAGCTTTACCGTTCCGCGAAAAAAGACAGACAACACCGCCCTCTCTCACACTACTCCTCACATGCCGCGGTCAGCTGTTGCGCCTGACCTCTCATGGTCACGTGACCTACCCCGCAGCACCATCTACTGGCGGCCGGCGCAGCTCAGCTTGTACAGCCTTATAGATGGCGGTGCCGCTGGCCGTATCTTCATGGAGGGGGCGCCGGGTGTCCGCCTTGCTGCCGCTGCAGTCCAGTATCCAGTTAGGCCGTCCGCGCTGCTGAGACTCCTTCGGCTTCGGTCGGCGCTTCAACTTCACTGGTCGCTGGTGGCCGATCCGTGCTGGAGGACACCTGCTCCGACGACTACTCGCCTGTTTCTGCTGCTAAGATGCTAGAAAGCTGCTCCTTCAAGGCGATAAGTCCGTATTATCCTAACGCAGTGGCTACCTCTCAGTCAAGTCGCTTACAAATAGCTTCCCAAGCTTCCGGTGAAATCGAGACGAAAGGACACAACCAAAGCCCCATGATATGAATAAATCCTGGAGTAATATATGAAATAACAAGAGATATCGAATTCATTTTGGTTGTAGCCCCTCGTCAGCTCTGATAATGGTCACGTCCTATACACCTCAAACCTTTTTCTCTCCAAGTTCTCTCTTCATGAACCTCAATGAAACATGTTTGCTCATACCACTCATGCAAGTTTGAAGAAGCGTTTCTATGTTGGATAACATCTAATATGTAGTTCATTCGAATAAAAAGTCATTTAAAATAAGTCCCTACTAGACATCCACTGGGAAGCTACCTGCTTCTCCTCTGCCTTCGACGACCGGTAACCTTGCACGAGCTAGTACTACTAACTACTTAGTAAAAATGAGGACCAACAGGTCTACACAGGCCTCTAAATTCCGTGTACTCCTAAGGTAAGGTTAGGTAAGGTAAGGTAAATAAATTATTTTTAGTGTTTTCTAATAGACTCACCTCCTATTTCGTTTCTGGAATATCTTCACGACTTACTCGCGGACGGCTGCCCTCTCTTAGCACGACATTTGCAATGAATTACTCGGTGAAAAGCGGCACTTGACCTGTTTGCGCTCAGAGGCATCTGCAGACTAACTGAGCTCAGGGCTGTTCATACGTATTTATCGAGAGAACACCTCCCACCTGCTTCGAGAGTAGGGTTATCGAACTTTCAGCTTTAACCGTCTTTGTTCAACAATCCTTTGTCAAATAGATTGTGGCTGCTTGGCGTTATCGCTGTATTCGGCCTTCATATATCTGAATGCTCTATCAAATGACGCAGTGAGTGATGCATGCCAGCCTTCAAATGGGGACTGACTCTCGAGCCACTCATGGATTATGACTAGCTCGGCTCAGGTTGTTTGTTTATGTGCCTACATCACCTCCCAGCCACTTGGTGAGTCAGTACCTACACTCGACATGTTTCACCTAAACAGCCTCAACAAAGGTGGTGTTATTTGCAAATGGATCGCGGCTTCTTAACCCGCGACCTGTTGTCTGGCAGGTTCCACGTCCTATTGGGGAGGGGGGGGGGCAAAGAGCCCCCGTCATATCTCCGGAACCAATAGCCGGATCGGAAAATTCAAACGGCAATCGAAAAGAGCTCATCGAGATGCACAAGATGCGATATCGATGACCTCGATAGTTGACCTGTGACGTCACAGGGAGGTTAAACAAGGTCAAATCAGTCCAATTTACAATGACAAGAAGTCGGTCATAAAAAAGAAGTCTAGGTTTCAAAAATGAGTCCGGATGTGATGTTTATGATAGACCTGACATGTGGATACTCATCTAAATGGATGCTGACCTGTGACGTCACGAGAGAGGACAGCCTCGACCAATCAGAAAACAGGTGAATCGTAGAGAACAGCATGCTGAATTTTGAATAATCGAGTTTTTATGAAGGTATGTCATATATATGAAGCCACTGAAACCTCTTTAGCCACTTTTCTTTGGCCTATGACGTCACCAGAAGGTCAAAAAGGGTCATATTGTACCAGTTAACAATAAAAATATTTTAATATGCAAAAACTTAAAATGATGTTAAGGTATTACGTGAAAAACAATTTTCGGTAAAGAAGTGGTGAATATGTATCATACATATTATCCTAGGCTGATTTTAAGTACAAATAATGAACATGTTGTGCCGCCATAAGAAAAGTCACTGATGTTTTGGTCATTCAAATGGCTATATCTCAGGCAGTTTTAGAGATATTTTGTTGATTTTTGACATGTGTGACACAAGTACGATGAAATGAAAAAATACGAAGAGAACACGGATTAAATTCTCTGACATTTATTCCGGTTTTTGGAAAATTTCCCCAAAGTTTCAAAAATAATTCAAATCAAAATTTTCAGTTAGAAAATGTGTACCTATATCTATACTCTGTTCCGTTTCAAGTTTGCAGCCGAAGTGCCTTGCTGAAGGCAGTGCGTGATTTCTGTATATACACTACAGCTCTTGCATTTTAAGACGCGAATTCGAGCGGAGGAGCGATCTGCCGAAGAAACTCCGACTGCAAGCTTGATATGGAACAGAGTATAGATTTCATATTTTTGAAATTTCCAGGTGAAATTTTCGCTTGCCATGTTTTTTTTTGTACCTACGCTGCAATTTTTGAATCTAGGTTGGAATTCTGATTTTTTGTGATTTTTCTCCGTGAACAAATTTTTTGACGAAATTTGGCCAAACATGACCTCAGTTTGACCTCTATAACTCGTGACCTGACATGACCCGGGAATCCCCCCCGCCCCCTTCCAACGGGTCGCGGGTAAAAGGAGGATTATGTAAGCGAGTAAAGATCTTAAAAATATAGAATTAATGTGCAGTAGTTTTAATTTCAAAATTACGGTCAGTAAAGAATAATTGATATAAGTTGGTGCAGTTTCATCGTACCACTGCAATCCGGAATGCTAAATGCTTACCCATATTCGGTCTCTTGGGATACAGGTAGATGGCAATAAGCCACAATGACCTTATCGCCATGCTAATGTTGCATTGTAGGGCGATTGACGAGCCATCCTAGCTCAAGCTCGACCAAGCATATTGAACAGTGACAAAACTGTGCTGCTACAAGACGCCTCGATCTGTTTACGAGAAAACACTTACCTACGAGTTACGAGTTACGAGTTACGGTACTTACGTTACGAGTACTAGGGTGGAAGTGGACACTGGCAAGGCCCTAAAGACACTGGGCAGTGGGAAAGTGTAGGCAACAAGTCAGGCATCGAATGTCATCTAGTGGGGCCAGCCAACTGGCGTCACCTGCCGTTCAGACGATACTACTACTGGTCACCCTTCTATCCGCGGCGGGGCGCCACTAAAGCAATTCCAACAGAGGCCAAACCAAGGATGGGCGTACACCAACTACCTACAGGGTGGGGCAGCATAATCGGGAATGCTTTTTGGGCTCTGATCATGAGTAGGCATGGCATGATTTTTATAAATTATATTATGGCAATGAAACGCCCAAAAGTTGTGCATCATCTGACATGACTACATCCATGAGCATGCAACTTCCTGGAAAAGAGCAGCAAAATAGTTCGACGGTGCTCCAAGTGCTTTGCGCGCGCCCATAGACACTAATGTTAAAGGGACCCTCCCACCTTCAAAAAAGTTAATGAATTGGCATGAAAGTGATGTCGCTCGGTTCAGAAAGAGCAAAAACGAATATCTACCAAATTTCATCGAAAAATATTCATCGGTTTTCAAGATATTAGACTTTTACTTTTGTTTACTTTTTGGGATCTCCGCTGTTCCTAGCGACTTTATTTGAAAGTGCGGCATTTGTTACGCGCAAAGCAGCATATACCACCGCGTGCTACAAAACGTTTTAGTCAAACATTTAACGGACGTTCGAAAGCCTGATGACGTCATCAGATTCCCGTAATGGTTAAGAGATAGGGACCACGCTGGTCCCACCCTGCAAGTAAAGGGAAGAAATTTCTTGAACACCATAAAGCTGCGGGGGTTGCGACCAGGATAAATGGTGGTTTCTGAGCCTGGCCGCAAACTTGGCTATCTCAACTCAAAACTAATGTTAAGGTGGGAGGGTCCCTTTAAACAAGTAAAACAAGAACATTTTGTTTAAAACCCTGCAATTCCACGTAAAGGTTGCTGGGCAGGTCAACGTGTTATCACGGACGATAAGGATTGTGTGGGGATACTTAGGACAACAGGTTAACGTAATCGTCGTAAAATAACTCTTAGCAGAGGACATACAAGATGACTCACTTGAATATAAGGAAGAAGCACTTGAGCATATTAAAAAGAAACAATGTTCAAAACTTCAGCGACAAAAAATCTTATCACCGACTGGAATACGATAAAAAAGAATGGCATGCCATATAGGGGATTGTATCGAGAATATTCCAGCGGTCATGCAAAGTAAACATCCTGTTGGGGTGATGGACCTATGGGTGGTCTTCAAGGGAGGTGCACGTGGTGCACCCTACTTCATCGAGCCCGGATAAAATGAGCACCTCTGGTAAATACAACCGCACTCTGGCAGACTCACGTGGAGCCGTCGGAAGAGAGGATCACTGACGGTCCAAATCACGTCTTACGAGGACTCTGTCCGTGCTGGTACTGCAGTGAGGACGACATGTTATTGTGTAGGGCACCTCCACCTGAGATGAACCAAAAACTTCTGGTCCTTCAACTCCGCCGATTTAAATCCGACCAAATTCTTTACATGGAGCGTTTTTTGGTAGAAGTTTAATGAACAACTTATCATCAGTAAAAACAGTCTTCAGTGCAAGGTACGAAGCTGATGGGCGATCATGGACAAGCAGGAGGTTGCACGTGCATGCGCGTGCTTTTGGACCCGCCTTGAGAAGGTCATCGACGCCGAGGGCGGTCAAATAGGATGAGGGATAGGTAAAAGGTGACCGATTGATAGGATGTTGCTAAAATAGTGCTTGGAGCTATATTTTTAGATTCATGACCAAATAATCCCGTTTGATATTTATTCCCGATTATGCTGCCCCACCCTGTATGTATAGATCGGCTGATCATTTGTTCTGTAACTCTGTGCCGGCTAATCTATTTCCATCCTTAGCACACTCTCTGTTATACCGGGATGGCAATCAGCCCATCAGACGACAACCGATGGAGGGCAGCCCTAAAAGGAATACAACTCATCATCACGGGACGGTACCTACGGATGAGGGAAGCTAACAAAAGAGCACACCCCACCTACGATGGAAACCGTTTGACTGGCTTGGATGGCCTGCCCTAACAGGAAATGCTCGCGACTGGCTCACCAGTAGTGATTGGCTGGTGATGGACCAATGTCTTCACCTATACTCGCATTCCACGGCCAGCTGAAATGGTCTCATAAAAAAATAGCCTGACCCAACAAAAGAAACTGCATGCAAGCAGGCAAGCGAGCAAACGGTCACTAGTGAACACAGTTTGCTGAAACGTAGATGGGGGGCGGGTTTCTTCGAATAGTTGCTATCCCCGAAATGGTTTTGAATTCAGCGTGAAAAGAATTGTGTATCTAACTAGTTTATGATGCCGAATCAATTATTTTTAAATTGAAGTTTACTCAAAGGTGAGTTTAAAGCTCTTTTAGCTCTGATAACGATGTGAAAAACACATGTTCCCTTTTCTTTCAGATTTCCATGACATAAAATATTTACCTTATTACCTATTTACCATGGATCCTGATGAAGTATTTTAGATATGTATTACGAAGGAATTCCTTATCCGTTCAGCAATTTGATGCGCTTTTAACGCCTGCCTAGTTATCACTTACTTACCCTATATCAGCGGCAATCTGCGCACTATCAACGAAAGCAGAATGCAATATCCTTTATCGTGATATTCATGGCCGATTAGATAAGCGACACCTGACCAGAAATTGATATGCGACGCTAGATATTGATATCATTTGTTGATAAGCGAGCATATCATCGTATCCTATCAGACTGAGCATCGATGAATCTGATTGTGTTATCTCGCCACGCAATAAAAGCCACAACAAAATGGTTCGCTGTGAAGTTGCTAGAGTTCAGATGAAGATGAAGGTGGGCAAGAAATCGGACAACATAAATACAACTACGGGCTCCGAAGAGTGAAAGAAGAAGAATCGAACTGCCAGGTAAGCGGGAGAGAGAGAGAGAGAGAGAGAGAGAGAGAGAGAGAGAGAGAGAGAGAGAGAGAGAGAGAGAGAGAGAGAGAGAGGTGCTCATGTCTGTTTGCCGCCTTACTAGGTGCCCACTGCCCAGTGCCTACCTAAATCCTAATGAGTATTTAGTGTTCACCCATTTAAATAAGTAATAAAAGCAATTAATCGTCAATGATAAATAAATAGGTAGGTA